GGCATCCAAGATCAGGTCTGAAAGGAGGCAGTACAGGAAACGGTTAAATGGCTTATCAACCAGACCGCCACAAAACCGCCCTCCCATCAGCAGATCCCAGGGCCCCAACTATACAGACAACTCAAGGCCAAATTGGGTAAAACCTTAAGTTTTCCAGCTCTGGGAAAAAACCTCTTTATTTACCTCACCGAACACATAGCCCAGGAACTTAATGTCACGGGGTGCTGGGTATGTGGAGGAGCACTCATGAGTGAAGACTGGCCATGGAAGGGAACTAGCCTAACTGTCCTTGACCTCCTCCAGTGGAACTACACCACAATCCGGCCTTCACAGAGATGGCCCCTAGGGTGAGTACTCTCCTCCAAAGTAATCGGAGATGTCTCAGCCGGACAGGCACGCCCTACACCCAATGGGTGGGAGACACCCCATACAGGAGAGTCCAGAACCTAACTGGCTCGTCTCTCAGCTGGAGGCCAAAAGCCCCAACCTGGTAATGGAGCCCTATTGACAATTCTACCTCATGTTCCCTCTTAGATACTAGCTCCTCCATTGCCAACTGCACCTTTCCTAATGGCACCAGTAACCCCTTCCATGCACTCCTGGCCCTTAGTACTATATGGGATAACTTAAACTCCACCCTGGGCACCCACTGGGCAGCACCCAATGGCTTACTCTGGATCTGCGGCAAACGAGCATACTCCCATCTCCCCTCCAACTGGACCGGGAGCTGTACACTTGGTATAATCCAGCCTGGTTTCTTCCTCCTTCCTAACCAAACTGGCCAAGAGCTAGGCGTCCCCTTACACCGGGATTTGCATATAAAGCCCAAAAGGTGCCTTGATATGGGGGGGGCATCAAACCTGGCAGGCAGATGAATGGCCTCCCCAGCAGATCATCCAATATTATAACCCAGCTACTTGGGCTCAAGATGGGAGTTGGGGATACCATACCCCCATTTACATGCTCAACTGTATTATCAGATTACAGGCTGTTCTAGAAATAATTGCCAATGAAACTGCAACAGCTTTAGAGCTCCTCACTACCCAACAGACCCAGATGTGGGCCGCTATTTATCAAAACCGCCTAGCACTGGACTACTTACTAGCTGAAGAAGGTGGCGTCTGTGGCAAATTTAATCAGTCGGGCTGTTGTCTACAGATTGACAACACTGGCAAAGCTGTCTCCGCTATGGCCACGAATATTAGAAAACATGTCCTAGTTAAAAAATGGTCAGGATGGGACCCCAAAAGCCTATTTGGAGGATGGTTCTCCACCCTCGGGGGATTTAAAGTGTTAATTGGAATCATCCTCCTGCTCCTTGGGGCTGCCTCCTTTTACCCTGCATTCTCCCCCTTGTCATTCGCTCCACCTCTTCCCTCACAGAGACCATTGTAGAACCTAAGGCTGCTGCTAAGGTCCTCATGTTATGGAGGTATCAACCCCTAGGCCAGCAGCCTGTTGAAGGAGGTGATGCTCTCTAACCCACGTATGGGTTCAAGCGTCAAAGTGGGGAATGTGGCAGTGGGCCCTAGACAAAGGCTTTCCCGGACCACGTGGTCACTAAGGATTCCACGCTGTAGCAGGGAGCTTCAGACAAAGACATTCCTATACTGCATGGCCATTAAGACTTCCGCATTTAAAATTTCCAAATTCCTACCTCACCCGGGAACCAGTCAGAAACTGGCACAAGGGCCACATGTCCTAATAATAAATCTTAGCTGCCAACCTGGAAACCTCAGGGTATATAGTCCCAAGTCCCGCCTGGGTCAGGGCTCAGCCTCTGGATGTAAATCTGCTGAGCCTGTGCGGGCATCAATAAACGTTGCTTCCTGAACCTTGGTGTCCTGTTTCTCTGTCTGAGTTTCCCACAACAATAGGAGCTCTTTTATGGAAAATGACACACAGAAGGCTGGATATACTGTAGTTACTTTACACAATATCATAAAAAATACAAGCCTCCCATCTGGGGCCAGTTCACAACTGGCTGAGCTAATAGCTTTCCCCCAAACACTAGAGCTGCTATAGACTATCTACTCCTCAAACATAATATGTTGTTTCAACCTGTCTGATAATTTACAGTTAATCAGAAATAAAGTTCAACAGATTCATAACATAGTTTCTAACATCAGACAAAAAACAGGATCCTTTAGCCTAGATTTTTCCTTCCTTACATCCTGGCTTCCCAGTTTAACAGGATTTAGGGAAACATTTCTCATTTTTCTTTTATTTGTTTTTTTTATAGGGATTGCCTCATGCTGCTGCCTCAAATTAATCTCTGCTTTCGTGATGGCCTACATGACAACCACCTCACCTGGATTCGCTCATCTACTGTGGGCTGTTAGACCCCCTCTGGACTAGCCCTAACTGCGGGTTCATACTTCATCCCTCCTCAGCAGAAAACAGCCAGAGTGGTCTTCACCCCTTTCCCTAACAGCAGTTAGGGTTACCTCATCAAAGGGGGAATTGAGATACGAAAATTATAGGTAGTCAGGAAAATTGCCAAGGTAGAGGGAATTAGGACAGAAACCATGCAGGAGAAATAATCTTAATAGGTGACTGATAGGTTTAAGTCACAGGACCCCACCAGGATGACAAACTTGGGAGGGGGAGGAGATGTTTTTTTCTCAAAGCCTATAACAAAGAAGTCAGAAGTTTCACCTCCAGAGGGAGGGATTAAGACAGGTTAGTTAACATAACATAAGACAGTCAGGAACCCCCTGATAGAATGAGCAGGAGACAATGATATCTTCAAAGCTCCAGTCTTGAGATACCATAATCCTATCAGAACAGAGACATCAATTATGCTCTGAGGCAACTAGACAGTTTAAAGGAGTTCCCCACCTAACGTGGGCACCCCAGTCGGGAACCCCTCTCGTTTTGAGAGCTGTTACTTTCTGCTCTAACAAAACTTATCCTCTATCCTCTGCTGTAAACTTGACCTCTCTGAAAAAAAAAAAAAAAAAAAAGCACACTTAAGGACTCCACCCAACACCAATTGGATCAGTTCCTCTAGGTGGTCCCCCATGATTCTGACATACCTCAAGTCCAATTCACCATTTTACATATGGGGAAACTGAGGCCCAGACAAGGAGTGTAACTCCAGAGGTCTCACTACCAGTCAGCAGAGCACTGGATGAAAACCCAGGAATCAGGACCACCAGTCCAGGGTTTACTCCAATGCACTGTGAATCTCCCAACACCCTTTATTCTGGCTCTCTCAAATGGCCCCCTGCTCATTTAAAAACTCTCTGATATGGACACACAGTCTTCATGGTCTCCTCCATCCTCACAATCCTGGGACAAAGGGCAAGCTGAGGACACACCCGTGGCCCATCAGCACATCTCCCAAAGCTGCTTGCAGCTGCAGAGCCCCAGCCTCCTGCCGCACCTGCCTCGCAGGCACAGGGTCTGCATGCTCTAGGACTCCATGCAGACTTGCAGATTCATCTGACTGGACATTGACCCCCTCCATGACCCAGGGTCTGGGGAAGCACCTCAGGGGCTTCAGGAGTAGGACACCCTCCTTGGATTCCAACCTAACCCCCTACTAGGCCGGCCTGCGCTTCCTCCCATCTCCCCAGGCCTGGGGAGTGGGGAGGAGGGTACTGACATAAATGGCTACATCCTCTTCCTCTTCCTGCCCCAGATTCTTGACCATCTTTGGAAACAGCACTTCCCCTTCCCTCTCCTCTTCTGACGCTTCAGAGCACTCCACAACCTACCTTGCCCTTACCTCCCATAGATCCCTCACAGGTACTGCCCTCCTGATTCCATCCCCAAGCAGGCAGGAACTGCCCTGGTCCTCGCTCTCCACTCCAGCCCCTGTAGACACATCTGGGCACTTTTTCTGGCTAAAGCCACTTACCACAACCCAAATGAATATAGGGCTTGCCTTCCTGGGAGATTCCAGCCCACCCTGGGTGTCCTGTCCTTGACTCCAGTGACAGGACTAGCCTGAGGTCAGCACTGACCTCTCTGAGGGAGTCTCTGCTGGGCCAGCTCCTAGAACATATCATGCTCTCTCACCGTCTAAGCTAAGTATCACGAATTCATGATAACCCTGGGTTATAAGCTGTCCCTGCTCTACCTCCATGGTTCGGATTAGGGACTCCTGATTGTAGAGGTCAGGTGACGCCCCTGTGTAGCATAGCCCATTTTGGAGAGTGGCAGAGAGGCAAGCCCCCATCACTACCAGGGCCTTTACAGGCCAAATATCCCTTCAGCCGTAGGCCCGGGGCAGGCCTCTGCTCATTCATTCATTCATAGTTGGTTTTCATCATTCTAATAATTTATAAATACCACGCTGGGGAACCTGCTTCATTTCCTTTTCTCCCGCAGCTACACTGTCCATTTTCTGTTCTCCACTCCCATCCACAGACCTTATGCCTGCTCTTCAGGGAGCTGGACTGGGAACGTGGTCTGATCACTGGAGAGCCCTCAACCAGTGGGGCCAGGACGCTGACAGCCGGATGCAGGGAACCTCCGTGTCCATGCAGGGGATTTGGGATGCCTGAAGAGTGGAGTGCGGAAAGCGGGGAAGAGATGGCGAGGGGTTCATCGTCCCCACTTCCTCCCTTCCTAGTCTCCAAAGCCCGAGCCCCTGCCTTCTGCGCCACCTGGCGGCCGCCGCCGGCGAGCGGAGAGCGGACTCAGCGCGAGTCCCCGGGCCTGCGGGCGCGCGAGTGCGCGGGGGGAAGAGCTGGGGGCGCCCAGCTTGGAGAGCCAGGACTGCACGGCCCAGGGAGGGTCACACCTCTGGATTCCGGCGAAGCCCACACCCCCACGAAACCCCGAGACCTGGTGTCCTTGGCCCTCACGCCTGTAGACTCTGTCCGAGACCCTGAGAAGCGCTTGGCGGCTGAGTGAACGTGCGCGCGTGCGCCCACCCCCCGCAGTGCCCCGCACGGCCTTCCCCGCGCGCTCGCGCACGCTCACGCACGCCCAGACGCTCGCCAGAGCCGGCGGGTCCTCCACGCAGCGGGCCGTGGGCTCGCGAGCTTGCTGCCTGGGTAGAGGAAGGTCCCTTGGCGCGGTGCACTTGTGCAGGCACCGCTGCACACTTTTCTGCCCTCACCTAGGGCATGAGACGACGCCGCAGCCGCACAATCCCAAGGGTGATCTCCGGAGGGCGGGATGTGGGGGATCCGTACGGACCCAGCCCCTCGGAATTGGCTGGGGACGCTGGGGCCAGGCCGCTCCCACCTGCCGGCCGCAGCGGCCAATGGGAGTCTGGCCTGGTGATGTCATGCCCTGACCGGACCCTGGTGACGAAGTCCGAGGCCACCCGTCAGGGAACCAGAGCAAACCTACCCGCGGGGGTTCCAGAAGTTTCCACTGAGACAGCGGAGTGCAGCCTCGCACCGCAAGCTAGCGCTTGCCACCACTTTGGCCTTCCTTTTGGGGTGTCCCTGATTGACTTCTACACCCCCCCCCTCCGGTCCCCTTCCTCCTTCGGGGCCCCCCTTATTTCCACTCGTGACCTCGTATTCACGTCTTTATTACCACAGGAGTGTCCCACGTCACCTTTTCTCCACCAGTGCTACCCGGACCTCTGATGGGGTCTTCAGCCACATTTTCATGTGCCGGTCCCCCAATGCCACCCCTGCTGTGTCGTGGCTAGGGATGCTCATTTATTCGGCACCCAGCCCCTACTGAGGCTGTCACTGTGTCCGAGTGTGTCCGTCCGTCTGTGAATGTCGATCGCTGTGTTTGTGGCTGTTACTGCATGAGACCGTCGGTCTACGTTGTCTGTCTCCGGGGAATTCGGTCCGTCTATCACTGTGGGTGTCTGCCCCGCCGCTGCGGTTCTTTCGTTCGTGTCTGTCACCGCGTGCGTGTCTGTCCGTCTGTTGGCGTCTGTCACTGGCATCCGTCTGGGCTCCGGGGTCTCTAGGTCTCGGCTCCAAGAGAGGGAGAGAGAGTGGAGGTGGCAGCCCGGGGCGGCGGGGAGGGGCGGGGGCGGAGACAGTGGGCGGAGGCGGGGGCGCCGTGTGGCCCGGAGTGGGTGTGTGCCGGGGGCCGAAGGCGGCGGCTGTCAGACTCGGCTCAGCCTGCGCTAGAAAACCTCGGCCACCTCCAGCTCCCGGCGCGGCGCGGCCCGGCCCGGCCCGGCCCAGCCTGGCTGCCTCAGGTGAGTCACCCGACCCTCTCGGGACCCTCCTTCGGCCCGTTGCCTATTCCGCGTCCAGCGGATGGTGCCCTCCTGGAGGGATCCAGGCCCCCAAACCGGACGTCCACTGCGCCCCTGGGCCTGCCCAGCGACGCCCCCCGCCGCCCCACACTCATCCTTAACTCTTCCCCCGCCGCCGCAGACTTTCGGTCGCCCGCATGGGAGCCGGCACCCCGCAGGGCTGGCCGCCACCTCTGCTCTCGATTGCTGTAGGGACCCCGGAGCACCCCTTCCCCCGCTCGTCCCTAAGTCTGGGGCCACTGGAAGACGCTCCCTGCTTGGAGCAGAACCCGGGCTGCGCAGGTTCCTGGCGTCCAACTGGGCCCACCTGATTCCCGCGACCCCAGCGCCCCTGCGCAGCGCCCAGCCAAAGCCCCCTCCCAGGCCCAGGCTTCTCCTTCCCGCAGGGACTCCGTCTCTACTGGGGGGCAAGGCGAGGCTCAGCGGAAGCGCTGAGTTATAATTAGCCCCACTCGGGTTTCCTAGTTAATCTCAGCACCACCACCACACCAGCTCAGGGCGCCAGGGGCTGGATGAGGGGTGACCGCCGCGAGAGGGGGGAGTTCCGACCCGGAGAATTTTGATCCCTTGGCTGGAGATGCCGGAACCGCAGCAGCTGCTGCCTCAAAATAGCGCCCCCGCCCCTGCAGCCGGGGATCTCCGGAGCTCCGGGAACACAGGCGTCCCGGCTTGTCCTTCAGACCCCTCCGCAATGCCTGCAAGCCCTCAGACCCCCGCCCCAAGTTCGCTCCTGGACTCGGGGCGGTGGGCGCAGTCCTTTTCTAGGTCTCTACCGGCCCCCTCTGGCGGCAGCGTGCACAGCAGCATCGGATGGATGGGGGACTCGAGTCCTGGGGTCCAGGGCTAGAGAGCTTGTTAGCTGAGGCTAGGCGACTGGGATGCGCAGCTGATGGGCACCCGCAGGCACCAGTGCCTGTGCCAGACAGGATGAGGCAGGATGGGCGGGGCAGGGTGTGGCGTTGGTAGAATTTGGGGTGCCCCAGGACCTGCGGTTTCTACACCCTGAATGCCCAAACCACCCACCCCAGGGTCCTGGCCCTGGCCCACAGAGAAGCTGCGCCTTCAGGCCACTGCAAGCGCCCTCCGGTGCCTCCCAACAGCGAGGGCCCCGCCCCTGTTGGATGGCCTGTACGTTGACTGCGGCCTCTAGTGCCAGTGCCCCGCACTGCTCTCACTGGGCCCAACCCAGTCCATCCAGCTGAGGGAAGGAAGTGAGGGCGGTGGGCCCTCTGCGGGGCAGGGGAGGAATTGCTTGGCAGGTCTCAACTCTGTACCCTACATTTGTCTGGGTGTCTATGTGCCTTGGTCTCTGACCCCTCTTGCTTCTCCCTGTTTGCCTGTGTCCTTGTCTCTATGTCTATCTCCCTCCATTTCTCTCCTCCTCTCCACCAACCTGCTCCACCTCTTCTGCAGCTCAGCGATAACCCCTGGGCAAGAATGTTACCTCATCTCCTCCTTCCTGGCAGCCTCAGGCCTTCACCCTCTGCCATTCTTTCTCCCAGCAGCCGCCTGCCTGCCCTAGCAGTCATGAGGCTCCCGTGGTGTCCTCTGCACACTCCCTTCCCGATGGCCCCACTCTTTCTCCTCCTCTTCTTCCTCCTGGGAGGAGGGGCAGAGGCTGAACACCTGGAGGACCCAGAGCTTCGGGTGATGGTGCGTGGGGGCCAGCTGCAGGGCATTCGCCTGGAGGCCCCTGGGGGCCCTGTCTCTGCTTTTCTGGGCATCCCCTTTGCAGAGCCACCTGTGGGCTCCCGTCGCTTTCTGCCACCAGAGCCCAAGCAGCCCTGGCCAGGGGTGCTGGACGCCACCGCCTTCCAAAGTGTCTGCTACCAATATGTGGACACCTTGTACCCTGGCTTTGAGGGCACCGAGATGTGGAATCCCAACCGTGAGCTGAGTGAGGACTGCCTCTACCTCAATGTGTGGACACCATACCCTCGGCCTGCATCCCCCACCCCTGTCCTTGTCTGGATCTATGGGGGTGGTTTCTACAGTGGGGCCAGCTCCTTGGATGTTTATGATGGCCGCTTCCTGGCCCAGGCTGAAGGGACTGTGCTGGTATCCATGAACTACCGGGTGGGAGCCTTTGGTTTCCTGGCCCTGCCGGGGAGCCGGGAGGCCCCAGGCAATGTAGGTCTCCTTGATCAGAGGCTGGCCCTGCAGTGGGTGCAGGAGAATGTAGCAGCCTTTGGGGGGGACCCAATGTCAGTGACTCTGTTTGGGGAAAGTGCAGGTGCCGCTTCTGTGGGCATGCACCTGCTGTCCCCACCCAGCCGGGGCCTGTTCCACAGGGCTGTGCTGCAGAGCGGTGCACCCAGTGCGCCCTGGGCCATGGTGAGCATGGGAGAGGCCCGCCGCAGGGCCACACTACTGGCCCGCCTAGTAGGCTGTCCCCCAGGTGGGGCTGGTAGCAATGACACAGAGTTGGTTGCCTGCCTGCGGACACGACCAGCTCAGGACCTGGTGGACCACGAGTGGCATGTGCTGCCTCAGGAAAGCATCTTCCGCTTCTCTTTCGTGCCTGTGGTGGATGGAGACTTCCTCAGTGACACACCCGAGGCCCTCATCAACACTGGAGACTTCCACGGCCTGCAGGTGACTAGTGGCTGGAAGGGGTGGAGCTGGTTCCTCTAGACCTGTTCTCCCACCCACCCTCCCCCTGGGGACCCAGACATGAGGACTTCTCAGGGCCCACTCCCGAAGGCCCAGGTTTCTCTTCCCTGAGGGCTTGATCCCAGGGTGGCCAGAGGGACAGATGAAAGGAAATGTGGGTGTATTTTCTCCTTCTCTCCATCCCCAATCTTGTACTCTCTTCCTCCGTGGTTCTGGGTCTGTAACTGTTCATCTCTCTGGCTCTGTCTGTCCCTCTGTTTCTGTCCGTCTGTGTCTTCCCACCCCCATTCCTCCATCCTGTCCCCTCAGGTGCTGGTGGGTGTGGTGAAGGATGAGGGCTCCTATTTTCTGGTTTACGGGGCCCCAGGCTTCAGCAAAGACAACGAGTCTCTCATCAGCCGGGCCCAGTTTCTGGCCGGGGTGCGGGTCGGGGTCCCCCAGGCAAGTGACCTGGCTGCCGAGGCTGTGGTCCTGCATTATACAGACTGGCTGCACCCTGAGGACCCAGCACGCCTGAGGGAGGCCATGAATGATGTGGTAGGCGACCACAATGTCGTGTGCCCAGTGGCCCAGCTGGCTGGGCGACTGGCCGCCCAGGGTGCTCGGGTCTATGCCTACATCTTTGAACACCGTGCGTCCACACTCCCCTGGCCCCTCTGGATGGGGGTGCCCCACGGCTACGAGATCGAGTTCATCTTTGGGCTCCCTCTGGAACCCTCGCTAAACTACACCGTCGAGGAGAGAGCCTTTGCCCAGCGACTGATGAGATACTGGGCCAACTTCGCCCGCACAGGGTCAGCAGTGCTGAGGGGAGGACGGCTTCAGGGAGCCAGGGAGGCAGGGGGGTGGTGGGGACAAAGAGAGACAGAGAGGGGGAGAAAGCAGAGACAGACAGTAAGGGCCAGAGAGAGGGGGGGAAAGTTCACAAAGGAGATAACCGGGGAGAGAGAATGACAAAGCAGACCAAGCAGACCGGGAGAGGAAAGGAGGAGGAAGGAAAGAGGAAGGAAAGCAGGGTGACAGGTCCTGAAGAGACAAGGACAGCAGCAGAGAGAGGCAAAGAAAAGATGGACAAGGAGAGACAGAGGCGTTACCATAGTAGTTAGGAGCGAGAACTGCAGAGCTGATCAATTGGACCAGTGGTGATTTTATTAGCTGTGACAAATGCGCATGGGCACAGTTTACCTGTCTGAAGAAGGGGACAATAAATCCGATCACATGGATGTTGTCAGAAGTAAACGTGATGTTTGTAGAGATTGGACTGGGCCTAGTTACATAGTAAGGGCTCAATAAATCATCAGGTTTTTAAAAGAGAGAAACAAAGACAACGATGGAGCAGAAAAAAATCAGGGAAAGGCAGAAGAGAGCCAGAAAGGGAGGGCAGGAGGAAGTGGAAGACTCCAGATGTTGAGGGATGCTGGAGAAGATAAAGGATTAAGCGGTGGGAGGGAGGGGACGGGGCTCTCCTCGGAACGGAGAAGGCATGGGGTCTGGAAGCAGCTTGCCGCCTCCACCTCCTCCTCCTCTCTATCTCCATTCCCCAGCCCCCAGGGCGGGGCAGGCTTGCCTGAGGCTGAGCCTTACCTTTCCTTCCGCAGGGACCCCAATGACCCCCATGACCCCAATGCCACGCAGTGGCCACCGTACACCGCGGGAGCGCAGCAGTACGTGAGCTTGAATCTGCGGCCGCTGGAGGTTAGGCGGGGTCTCCGCGCCCAGGCCTGCGCCTTCTGGAACGGCTTCCTACCCAAATTGCTCAGCGCCACCGGTACGCAGGGGTCAGCGGGCAGAGGCTTGGCGGAGGGGGCGGGGGGTAATGTGGCGCGGAGAGAGCAAGGGGAGTGGAAGCCGGCGGGGTGTAACCCCTCTCTTCTCCCCACCAGCCTCGGAGGCTCCCAGCACCTGCCCAGGCCCTGCCCACGGGGAGGCTGCCCCGAGGCCCAGGCCCGGCCTCTCCCTACCCCTCCTCCTCCTCCTCCTCTCCCGGCTCCTGCGGCTGTGACCACGGCCTCTTCCCCCTCAGGGGACCCTCCTCTAAAGAGGGGTCGGACCATGGGGGAAGGGCACCACTCAGGGATCTCCGACCCAGCACCCCTCCCCTTCTCAAACCGAGAGATTGGTCAAAGTGGACAGGGCGTGGGGAGGGGTGACCTACAACCCATCTCAGGGACCCACACGCCTTTGTTGTTTAAATGGAAATGAAAAAGCCAATTTTCTTTTTTTATAAAATTATTCCTTGGAGCCTGAGCCTGGTGTTGGGGGCAGAGGGAAAAGGCGGGCTAGAGAGTACCTCCCAGGGGGGCTATAACCGTCAACCATTTCTCTTCTTTTCCGCATAAACCTACGGATGCTCCCCCTTCTGATCCCTTCCGTCCCCGTCTTCCGGTCATTTTCTTCCCCGCATCCTCCTTCCCTGCTCACCCCACCCCACCCCCCCATCCTCCCTGTGGTCTTTCGTCTTTCGCATATTCTCCTGATCCTTTTTCCACCGTCCCACGTGGCCTTCTACTTTCTCCTTGTATCCTCGTATCCTCCTGCACTAACCCTCCACACACCACCCCGACCCGTGTCCGTTCCCCTACCTTCCCCATGTCCTCCCCTACCACCCACTTGCCGGGCGGCCTGGCCGCAGACACGCTGGACGAGGCGGAGCGCCAGTGGAAGGCCGAGTTCCACCGCTGGAGCTCCTACATGGTGCACTGGAAGAACCAGTTTGACCATTACAGCAAGCAGGATCGCTGTTCTGACCTGTGACCCAGGCGGGACCCCCACGTCCCGCCGCCCTGCCCGCCCCTCCCGGCCCACTGGCTGTATATACTATTTATCTAGGGGCTGGGATATAACGGAGGAGCCCTAGACCCTCCCCACCCCGACTTTCTCCCGGGGTTCCCGGTCCTCTGCATGTCTCGGCCGAGCCCCCTCCCCCGCGGTGCCTTCGCCCCTCTGGGCTGCCAATAAACTGTTACAGCCACAGGCGTGTACGCGACTGGGAAGCGGGGGTTGGACAGAATGCCTAACTACAGGGCTGAGGGAACGAATGGGTAGGTGCTGGAGCCCGCGGACTGGCCGACTCTGAGGTGGGATGCACAGCGCCCGCCCCTATGAGGCGGAACTCGCGCCTGCGCAGTAAGAAGGGAGGTGCGGGGGCAGTGGAGCTGGGCGGTGGTGCATTGTGGGAACCCCGTGGGTCGACGTAGCCTCCACAGTTCGCTCCTTCAGCTGCTTCCGGGTTCCCGGCAAGAAAGTTGCCAGATCTTGTGTGCCTGTCCTGCCCGCAGCTAGCCCAAAACGCAGGGTCAAGAGTTAAGTGCTGGAGCCTGAGTTCTCCCTGGATTTCGCTCCGCGCTGCCGGGACGCAGCATCCGCCCAGCCTCGGCAACCTCTGCTACAGCCGACCGCCCTGGAGCCGCTGAAGGACGTCCACCTGGGCCTTGCCCCACCCGGACGCGGCCCCGTTCGCCTAGCCGTCCTCTCAGGTCACTACCTCTACTATCACTATGGTTGCGACGGCCTGGACGACCGAGGCTGGGGCTGCGGATACCGCACTCTGCAGACTCTGTGCTCGTGGCCAGAGGGCCGGCCCGCTGGCGTGCCCGGGCTGGCTGCCGTGCAGACGGCACTGGAGGACATGGGCGACAAACCCCCTGGGTTCCGAGGCTCTCGGAGCTGGATCGGCTGTGTAGAGGCCAGCCTCTGCCTCGACCATTTCGGAGGGCCCAAGGGGCGCCTATGCCATGTGCCCAGTGGAGCGGGGCTTCAGGGGGAACTGGAGAGGCTTTACTCCCACTTCGCAGGGGGCGGGGGGCCTGTAATGGTTGGGGGGGATGCAGATGCCCAGTCCAAGGCCTTGCTGGGAGTCTGCTTGGGGCCAGGCACCGAAGCCTACGTCCTGGTATTGGACCCTCACTACTGGGGTGCTCCAAAAAACCCCAGTGAACTACAGGCTGCTGGGTGGGTGGGCTGGCGAGAGGTAAGCACAGCTTTTGACCCCAACTCCTTCTACAACCTGTGTTTGACCAGCCATAACTCGGAAAAGCAGCTGCAAGCCCTGGACTGAAGCAAAGATCCCAGAACTGAGACTGTCTCTGCCGCCCCCCCACACACACACACACCTACCCACTCTCAAAAGCAGAGACTTAGAGCTGGGGCCTTTGGCATCAATAAAGTGGCAAGACTCAGCTAACCATTGCCCCAGCCAATGTTTGGGAGGATCTAGGGACGTAATACATATGCAGTCAGGAGTCACTGTGGAAGTGTTTTTATTGGCAGTAGGGCTGGACGTACAAAAAATTCTCAGAGCTGGATGGGACAAGGCAGTCACAAGTATAGATACCAAGAGTGAGGAAAGTAAATGGCTCAAAAGAAATCCACGTCATCTGGAGCATCCAAATCACGGTATTCCACAATGGCCCGTGGGTCTCCACGGACCATCCTGTGAGATAAGGAAGAGGTAACATGGGATAAGAATTGGTCCCAGTCTGAAGAGGACAAGAAAGCTTGGACATCTTAGTTCATTCTCACCTGTTGCGAGGTTTCCCAGGATAACCTCCCTGGCCTCGGAAGGCATCATAGTTCCCTCGGCCAGCACCATAGGGGGCATGAGGATATGGAGGCCCTCCTGTGGGGACTGCAGGACGGACAGCACCAGCTGTGAAAAAGATGAGTGTTCGGTTGAAAAATCTATGACCTCAACTACACCTTGGCTGTTTTCTTTCTCCCAGCCCCTCACAACCACCAAGCCCTTTCAAGTCCCTCCTGTACTTACCTCCGTAGCCCAAGATGGGGGGCCGGGGCTGACCATAGGGCATCAGGCCCTGGGGAGTCTGGTGTGGGTAGGGGAGTCCCGGGGTCAGGCCTGGGGGGAGTACAACATGAATAGAAACATGAATTACTGGGGGGGGGGGGTTGCAAACAACTGATTTAGGAATACAGCCTGAGGGTGGAGCAGAAACTTTTTTCAGAGGACAATAGGATACAGAGCCAGGAGTCCTTGAATAGTTAATGGAGAGGGAATGTGGTACACCCTCATGGATCGTATCTTACTCTGGGCAGGACCAGGTGGCTGAGCTGGCTTGATCTCAGGCAAAGCTGGGCGCTTGGCATCAGTGAGAAAGTTGTTAAAAAATGCTACCTCCTTCTTCACTTCCTCAATTTTCTCTGCATGCTTGTTGAAGATATGTTTGCGTACAAACTCAGGGCCCTGGGTGAAGAGAGCAGAGGGTCAGAACAGAGGAAGCATTTCCCTAATTTCCCGGACCCCATCTGGAAGGACAATCATCTTCCCCTCCTACCAATCACAAATGAGCAGAATCCTGGAGGTGGATTCCTGGCTCCACCCTCTCCTCCCACCCATCTCACACACAACTAACATCTCAGACCTTGAATTTCTTGCCACTGAGAGGACAAAGCCACTTATCCTTGCCCAGTTCCTGGGTGTTAGAGGTGACAAATTTTTCCACTTCCTGCTCAGGGTCTTTGCGACCCATCTTCTGGGCCTCTTCCTCTGATAGAGATTCTCGCACACTCAGCAGCGGAGTCAGCTTTTCCTCAAACGTCTTCTGCCACTCTAGTACTGTGGTTTGAGACAGAGACAGACAGCAGGTTGGAGAAGGGCGCCAGAGGCAAGGAATAAGCAAGGAGGGGATTAGAGGAGGTGACAGAGCACTGCTCCTGAGTAGAACTAAAACCAGAGGCAGTTGGGGAGAAAGGGGAACCAAAGAGGACTCAAGGCAGGGGAGCTCACCTTCTCCATGACTGATACGGTTGGGTGGCATGGGTCCCCGAACGTGGATGATGCCACATCGGTTAGGCATTTCATCCTCATTGGGATACTCGCATGTGTTATAATAATCCAGGGAATGCACTATGCGCAAATAGAGGAGGAGTTTGTCCAAAACCTAAGAAATGAGAAGCCGTGAATTCACCACTCTTGCCCCCTTACTGCCCCAAGCCAGGCTCTTGTTCATCCCACACTGCTCTCACTGGCACCTTGATCAGCTTCTCATCCCGTTCCACGTTGATCTCCGCTGGGTTCCCTTCCTTAGGAGGCTCCTCAGGGGGGGGGCCCCCACTGCTCCCCAGCAGCTCCTCCTCCTCAGCACTCACTTCTTCTATCAGATAGTCAGTGATATTCTTCAAGATTGGGTTCTGAGAGGGCAGACTCTGGTAGGGAGGGAGAAGACAGACAAATGAGGCAGAGAAAGCTCCTCGGGGTAGGTAGCCTAGGAACCTCTTGCAAAGTGAGGGGAAGGAATTCAAGGCTCACATGGTCTGTTACTGCTGCCTCAGGATTTGTCTTCATGTTTGTTCTACCCTAACCCACAAATAATTTCTAACACCAATCTGTTCTGCTGGAAGCTAAAGGTGCTGCCCAGATAGAGAGGCCACAAGAAGGTGGGAAAAGGGGGTCAACACTACAGATCATGTAAGATCAAATGCCCACAGCAGATGAGGGGGTTATCAGCTGCTTTTGAAAAAGTTCTATGGGAAGTCACTGACTGTTGGCAGAGGAGGTGTCCCAGGCTCGGAGGCCCAGAGCTGGGTCCTATCATCCAGCGTATGGATCAGCTTGGCTGCCAGCTTGATGTCGTTGCGCACTATCTGCTTGTGTTGGGTAATGCCATTGATGTTGCGGACACGACGGGTCAGGTCTCTATTCACACCAGGACTCAACTCACACTCCCGGAGCTGGAAGGAACAGAGAGCTTACCAACACTTGCCCAAGAAGCAACTCAAAGACTGGCCTTATTGAGAGCACCAGTGATTAAACTATGAGCTCCCTGAGGACAGGGACCAGGTGTATTCACCATAATAGTCCCAGGACCTTTAAGGTGAACAGACTGAATGGATGAAACAGGGCAGAACGAATGAAGCAATGAACAAAGGAATCAGCGGTTGTGTGAGAGCCACACCTTATCTTCCTCAAAACAGTCCCACTCCCAGCACTCACTCGGATATTCTGCAGATTCCAACAGATCTCTTTGATGTTAACACTGCGGTCAAACGTCACCCATCCACGACGGAAAAACCTAAACAAGAAAGAAAATGTCAGCATAATCCTGGGGTGTAGGTGATGCTGGCCATTAACCTGCCCCTGCATCTTTTCTCCAAGGTATCCAGGGTCACACTTCTCTCCATTCCTCACCTCCTCTCGGGCTGAGGCTCCGACAGTGCCACACGCATAAAGCCTGGATATCTTTTACAAAGCTGGAAAACCAGAGGAAGAGAAACCTTTAGTGATTCAAGGGATTTACTTCTTCCTTCAGTCCCCATGTCCTCAGAAATCTGAGGAACTGCCTTTGAGTCTTTACTTATATGAGGGAAAACCAACAAAGAACTTAATAACAGCACTTGAAAGCAAATGGTACAACCAGGACCAACCCTCAAAAGGCAGTGTCCATGGGAAGGGGACTTCCCTACTAAAGAAATAGGGATGTATGTCATAATCAGTGCCAGATTATCTTCTCCCCACCCCACCCAAGGATGGAGCCTGAGTGTCATCCCTGCCCCCAGTGCCGTTTTTCCCCACTCACGGAAATTATCTCAGCCCGGGAGATGTTGGGTGCGATGTTGCGCATGAAGAGAGAGCAAGTCTTATGGAGGGGACGAGGTTTACATTCAGGCCCTAGAGCATCTTTGGGCTTCTCCCTTTCCTCTTCCTTGGGTTTCTCCTTTTCCTTGACTGCTTCTTCTATACAGGAAGTGGTGGAAGTTGGTGAATTTTTATTGATTTTGGAGAGAAGGATAGAGAAACTGTCAAACTCCCACCCCACTCCTCCTCTCTCCACCAAAAGGGGACCCTCTCATGCATTTCACCAACCTCTCACTTCTCCCACTCCTGTTCAGTAGGAAGAGAATGGACTAGAAGCAGAAAATAAAACCTACCAGCCTCTTCCTTCTCCTCAGCTTGGCCACTCTCAGACTCGGACTCCGACTCGGACACACTGCCTTCGTCAAAGCTGTCATCACCACTATGCTTCCTATTCCGCTTCTTGCTACTCTGTGGGAGCCACAGCAAGAGGAGGTAAGCCAGATAACCAGGACCCTTGCCCTGACACTGACTCCATGCAAGAGATTCCCTACCTTTTTGGCTTCTTTTTCAGAGTCATCTTTCTTCTCTTCCTTGTCCCCATCACCCTCAGATTTCTTAGTTTTGTCATCACTAGAACTGTCATTTTCAGCCTACAAGTAGACACAGTCACTGGGATGTCCATCTCTCCATCAACCTTTATCAGAGAGCCCCTCCCACCCTCCACAGCTGAGCCCAGAAGTTCACCTCTCCCCCACCCAATACACAATCTTCCAGTTCCAGCTCCTGAGGACCCCGCCACTGAAGCAGCTGTTCTCCTCCCTCCACGCTCATAGGCAGCACCCAGAGGCCCCAGCTCTCAGACCTGTTTCCCATCTTCCTTCTTGTCTTCCTTCTCATTAGCCTTGCGCTCTCCATCTACCAGGCCTGGTCCAGCCCGGCCTTCTTCTTTCTTGCTGGGCTCCCCAGGCTTTCCTGCCTGTTCTTCCTCTTCCTCCTGTTCCAGGATGCGTAGATCATTCTCTGTACCTCCTTCCATCTTAATCACAGCTACCAACAAAGGGAACAGAGGTTACAATCCAAGGGCCCTGGCCTTCAGCCTCTGGCTTTCTGTCAACCTACTTATATTTCCCAACAAAGACCTTGGTCACCAGACACCCACTGCCCCTCCCAGTCTACACACCTGCATCCAGCATCTTGACAATAGCATCAGCTTTGTCGATGTCTAGGAGAAGATTATCAAACCAGCCACTCTCCATGAGGGACAGGAATACCCTCAGTCGGTTTTGCAGGGCCCCCCGGGCCTCCTGCCGACGCTTCCCCACCTCATCCGGGTGGTACTTAGACCGAAACCTATAAAGTGGGGAGGGAAACGACACAATAGTCACTGGAGGCCAGGGCCAGGACATGGGGAGGGGCCCAGGAAAATCAGGGCTTAGCCCCCATCCTCTCACACCCACAAAAGGTCATAAAAGCAGAGAGACTGGGGAGAAAGGTGCACTAGAACCACCCAATACCCCTAAAGGAACCAGAGGTTATGCTCTGAGATGATCTGGGGGAGAACCAGGAATTAAGAGCTCTGGATTTGGGAAAAGTAATGACTACAGGGGCAGCCAG